CGCATGGCACAGGCAAACAGAATACATGAAGCAAATAAACAGAATACATAAAGCAAATAAACAGAATACATAAAGCAAATAAACAGAATACATGAAGCAAATAAAGAGAATACATGACGCAATTAAACAGAATACATAAAGCAAATAAAGAGAATACATGAAGCAAATAAAGAGAATACATAAAGCAAATAAAGAGAATACATAAAGCAAATAAAGAGAATACATGAAGCAAATAAAGAGAATACATGAAGCAAATAAAGAAATACATCATGTACATAAAACAAATAAACAGAATACATCATGTACATAAAGCACATAAACAGAATACATGAAGCAAATAAACAGAATACATGAAGCAAATAAATTGAACACATAAAGCAAACACACGAACAGGTGTAGCAATAGGTGTAGCACATAGGTGTAGCACATAGGTGTTAGCAATAGGTGTAGCACATAGAAGTAGGTGAGCAAAACACATGAAGCAGACGGGACCTTACTAGGGACCTACTTATACCTGGAAGTAGGTGAGCTGTGTGTGATAGAGCGAGGGCAGCACGTGAAACGTCGTACTGATCGCCAGCAGCAGCTCAAACTTGTGCAGCGAGCGACGGAAGTAGCCCTTGAAGCCCAGGCACCAGATCTTGAAGAGCGCCTCAAGGTCAAAGAGGATGGTGAAGGCCACCTACGAAACAATAGACAATCGAGAGAGGTGACGTCACGTGTGACGTGATTGTGCGTTGAGAAAGGATGACATGATGCGTGAAATTCGTTTTTTTGAAATTTGTAAGAGTATATGGCGTCATGTGTGATGCAATTGCAATCCTTGAACCCTAGCCCTATATTCCTTACCTATTGCTTCCTAATACTAAGCTTGATAACACTCCCCTTCATAGTGGGCCCTTTACTTGTTAAGTACCCCTTCCTCCCTCCTCCCCTTCACCTCCCTCCTCCCTTCCGCTTCTCCCTCACCCCTAACACACCGCCTTGCCCTCACCTAGCGCGTGCACGTCTATAGCTCCCGCGTCCACCCCCTTTCACCCTCACTACACCATCCCCTCACCTCGTCGCCCTCCTCCCCTCCCCTCCCTCTCCCTCTGACCCTCCCCTCAGCTCCCTGCCCCCCTACCTCCCCTGCCTCCACCTCAACATCCTCCTCCCCCTCCCCTCACTCGCTGCCTCCCCTGCACTACCTCTCACCTGCAACCCCACCTCCTCTGCCCTCCCTCCCTCGACTCCCTCCTCTCCCTTCACCCACAACCCCGCTGCCCCTCACCTAGCGCTTCACTCTTACCTCCCTCTACCCCCTCCCCTCACCCTCCTCTCCCTCCCTCGAACCTCCCGTTGCCTCCGCCTCACCTACCCTGCCTCCCCCTCACCTCCCTCTCCCCTCCCTCATGTCCCTTTGCCCTCCCCCTCAGCTCCCTCCCCCAGCGCATCCTCCCCTCCTCCCTCCTCCTCCGCCCCCTCACCTCCTCCCCTCGTCACACCTCACCTACCTCCCCCCTCTACCTCCCTCCACCCTCCCCCTCACCTCCTTCAATCCCCTCCCCTGCTCCACCTCCCCCTTCCCCTCTAACTCCCTCCTCACTCTCCTCCCTCACCTCCCTTGCCCTCCCCCTCACCTCAGCGTAGTAGAAGTGTTTCGTGAAGTCCTCGCGCTTGGTGCCGTCGTGCTTGAAGCGCAGGCTGCCCGCGGTGAGCGCGTTCGCCAGCACCATCAGCAGCATCGCAATGTGGAAAGTCGACGACTGCAGCAGCAGCTGGCAGCAGTGCGGCGCCGTGCCGCGCGGCTTGTTCTCGTCGATCATCACCAGCTTCCACGCGTTATCGTCGCCCTTGAGAATCTGCCCAAGGTCGCACGAGCGATAATTATTACGGTTAAGTAATTAATGGTTAAATTATTGATATATTTTATGTTATAATTATACGTGTTCGCACGAGCAATGATTTTCGTTAATTAATTGGTTATAGTTAAATTATTAATACAATTTAAGTTATAATTATACGTGTTTGCATGAGTGAATATTTATTCGCGGAACGTGGGTGGTCGTACGAAGGGTCATGACCAGCCGCCCTTCAGGATCTGCCCAAGGTCATGTGGTCATAACGAGTAATGAGTATATAATGAGTAATAATTATTATAGTTAATTAATTAGTTATAGTTAAATTATTAATATAATTTAAGTTAGAATTATACGTGTTTGCATCAATGAATAATTATTCGCGGAATGTAGTCATACGTGGGGCCACGAACAGCAAGCGCAGCGCGAAAGGTATGTGCATCTCATCATCTCAGCCCCTCACCTGTAGCGTATCATCGTTAGTGATGACATTCCGCGGTCCCCACATCTGTGCAAACTGGACTCTGATTTCAGCGAAGGTCTCGGTTATGACAGCGATGAAGACATTCTACAAAATAATTTGCCCCAGTCATGTCGCTGTGGTAAGATCGTCAATGAAAACGCTTCACCTGACACTATGTTAGATCTTTCCTTGTTCACATATTACATATATTTTTCTACGTAAAATGTCTCATAGGTGTGGCTGTATGGTGTACGATTTGTCAAATTAGTCAAACACATGTGTTTGACTAATTTGACAAATCGTACACCATAGTGGCTGACTATGATTCTTGAACTCTTTGGGACTTCACAATCCAATAACTTTTGATATCAAATGGTGGTAAACTCAATGGTTAGTGTTACGTTAATTTTTGGGTCAAGTTATGCTAACAAAATTACATTAATAATTTTTTAACGATAAGAACAATTATGATTCGTTAAAAATCATCCATTACTGGTCAATCACTAATGATTATTTGATAATTGTTTCTCATTAATTATTATATTCTAATTATTAAGTTCGTATGTATGTGATTCTGCAGGGAATCTGGAATCTTGCTCTCACCTTCACAAGCCAGGCAAGGAAGAAGATCAGGGTGATAAAGTAGAAAAGACCTCGGAAGTCATTCATGCTGTCCTGTGCCTTGTACATCATGAACACCCAGCCCTCTTGTGACGCTGCCTCATACACAGTGAAGAAACTCGTCGCTGTGCGCAGAGAAAGATAAGTAAGTAAATAGTATGTAAGTAAAAACTTTATTTAACGACGGTAAACCATGTTAGGTACAGACACAATAAAATGGTGCGGACCTATCTTCCACATGGCCGTCTCACAGCAATAGAAGAGTTAAATATTAAATAAATACACAATAAGAGTTGAAGAACTTAGACTAAAATTGTACGGGGTAAGTAGAGCACAATGGGCCCTATTGATAGGGCAAGATTATCTTTAGATGGACTTTAAAAGAAGAAATGGTGGGGGCATCTCGAACGTCAGGAGGTAAATTATTCCACTCATATGCCGCAGCACACCGAAAATATTTTCTTAGCATTTCAGTGCGTGCACGGGGCGGATAGTACAAACGCGCTTCGAACATAACACGATTATCGTCGATACTAAGCAACGGGAAGCAGAAATTGTTGGTGGAGGCAGACTGTTAGATATTACGCTTAGATGTGAGAACATTTGCAACCAGCAGAACAACAGTGCACACATCTATTGGCTGCTGTTATCACCTCCTTGTTCTCCTATTACCACATCTATTAACTGCCACTAACAATTGCTGCTGCTATTGTTATATATATTATTGTTAATACTACGGCTACTGGTAGTGGTAGTGGTGGTGATTGTGGTGGCTACTGTCGCTGCTACCACTGCCACAGCTACTATAATTGCTGCTGCTGCTGCTACT